GCTGACACTGGAAGACCAGTTGACGGCTGTGGCCAGGGGGGCGTTTTACCGGGTACGCCTGGTGCACCAGTTGCGGCCTTTTCTGGACCGGGATGCCTTGCGCACAGTCACCCATGCTCTTGTCACCTCCCGCCTGGACTACTGTAATGCTCTCTACATGGGGCTCCCCTTGAGGAGCACTCAGAGGCTCCAGTTAGTCTAGAATGCGGCCGCGCGGGCGGTGATGGGAGCGACTCGTCGCTCCCATGTAACGCCGCTGCTGCGCGAGCTGCACTGGCTGCCTGTGGCCTTCCGAGTGCGCTTCAAGGTGTTGATTATCATCTTTAAAGCGCGCCATGGCATTGGACCTGGTTACCTCCGAGACCGCCTTCTGCCACAGATTACCTCCCACCGGCTGATACGCTCCCACAGAGAGGCCCTCCTCAGGGTGCCGTCAACCAGACAGTGCCGGCTGGTGACCCCCAGGGGGAGAGCCTTCTCTGTCGGAGCACCCACCCTCTGGAACGAGCTGCCCCCAGAGATCCGGGTGATTCCGGATCTCCCCTCCTTCCACCGCGCCCTCAAGACTTGGTTGTTTCAGCGGGCAAGACTGGCCTAGGGGTATTTTAAATTGGTTTTAACTAAATTTTAGTAGAAGCGGCCTATTTAAATATTTATTTTTAATTATTCTCTTAAATTTTGTATTTTGTATTTGTATCAAACTGTTTTTAAACTGGCTGTAAGCCGCCCTGAGTCCTCCGGGAGAAGGGCGGGGTATAAATATAATAAATTCAAATTCAAATTCAAATTCAAAATAGCTGATCAGTGAAGGGAAGTCAAAGCCAAAGGTAATAAAGACGAAGTTAAAAAGCTGAATGCAATTTCCAACATGAAGCCAAGAAAGACAAAAATAGGCAGCAGGAGGAACAGTGTCAACATCTAGAAGAAGCTAACAGGAAGGAACATACTAAGGTCATGTTTGCCATAGTGAAAATGATGTGATCCAGTTTTTCAGCACGGCAAGGAACTGTTAAAGACTGCAATGGAATTTACTAAGTGACCAGCAGAAGATCAGGAACAGGTGGAAAGAATATACAGAGGGACTCTATAGCAGTTTGACTTACTATCAAGATGACAATGATGAAAGCCCAATTAATAAAGAACCAAACATCTTGAAAGAAGTAGAATGATCCACAGAGAAATTGCCAAACTGGAAAGGATTACTAAGACCAGTTCCAGTTTACATCGTCACTGCCCTATGTCTTCTCTATTCCCGATGTACAGTCACCGAAGTCCTGACTTTTTCAATGTAAAAATAGTGCAATCATTTCTTTCCGTTACGGTATCTGACAAGGTTGATAACGTACTAACGTAACTAAAGAGTACGTTCGTTCTAAAACAATTTTTATTAATTTGTCAATGGACTATATGTTCTCAATTATTGTAATTAACTTGTATAGTTGAGTTACCTGATATATAAGCTGGTTTTAAAAAGAGAGGTGGCACTCGAGATCACATTGCCAATATCAGATGGATTATGGAAAAAAACAAAAAAAAGTATACGATGTCATCAAGAGAGTTAAAGAATTGAAATAGAAAAGGGCTGTTCTCATAGCAAGAAGAACTGATGCAGGTGAACCAAGGCAGTCATAGAATGGATCCCACTTGATAAAAAGCATTCACAAAAGAGACCTAAAACAAGATAGATTGACGACATCAGCAAGTATTGCAGGCCTAGTTGGCAAAAGAAAGCTCAGGACCATATTGGTTGGAAACATGCAGAAGAGCCGTCAACCTGTAGTGGATAGATAATGGCTAAAATGATGATGATGATGGTGGTGGTGGTGGTGGTGGTGGTGATGATGATGATAGAAAAGGCACATGAATATCAAAAGGATCAGTATATTGGTTCAAAGTTGAACCCCCAACAACTGAAAGAAGCTGCGCTTAACAGGTTTGCGTGGAGAGCACTTGCCTGTAAAGTCGCCAAATGTCGGACATTACTGAACGGTTACAACAAAAATATTAATGAAAAGAAAAATGTATATCTTAAATATGTGCCATTGCTCTGTCGAAGGAAAAATGTTTCTTGCTCAATCATACTGGTTACACATGATCATTTTTTAAATAGAATGCCTAGCATGATTCTTATCATTTTCCTTTATTAGTGCCCTTATTAAACAAGTGAACAAATCCATAGATGGAACAGCAGATGATGAAGATGAAGGTGTCCCTACTGATCAGGCAATTAGAGCAGGTCTTGAATTGCTTAAGGTAAATTTTCCTGTTTAGAAAACACTATTGCAATAATTTTTTTGTTATAAATTATTTTTTTACTTTTAGAAAAAAAAATTAAGAATGCTCTTAAGTATAATAATGAGTGACTTTCATGAAATAGTGGACAAGGAAAGGAAGTAATTCTGAAATTAATCTCTCCTCATAGACTGATCTCTAACTTTGCAATCACCTCTATCCTTTGTTGGAGCCATAAGTACTTATTAGTATTACCTGCCCCATAATATTTAGAAATCCACATTATTTTCTCACTTTAAGATTTTTCCAATTTGTATGGTCAGCAGTGCTGGTTGGTCTCATTTTTTCTGAAGAATTGGAGGTGATAAAAGGTGATAGAATACAAATTTGTACAAAATTGAATGTCATCAAACATTAGTAAAAATCTACTAGCCATGAGTAGTGTGGCTATGAAGCATCTCTGAGCCGTGAGGCTTCTTCTGGGAACCACCAAATGTAGGTCCCCAGCTGATGGTATCTTCAACAGAACTAGCAAACTAGTACCCACAGCATGCCTTCTCTGGCAGATCTAATATATCATTCTGATGTAATTGGTGAGAGGCAAACCCTCAGATAGTCTCATGTTGTGAAGGTTTTTATAGGTCAAAATCAGGACCCTAAATTGGACTAAAAAAAACCCCTGGCAACTAGTGCAGCTCACGGAGCAGAGATGTAACGTGCTGTTCTTAGAACGCATATAATTGCCCATGCTATTGCACTGTGTATCGCTGAAGCTTCCAGATATTGTTCAAGGGTAACTCCATATAGAGTACATTGCATAATCCAATCTGGAGATGACTAGGGCATGAGTAACTGTGGCAAGGCCTACTGATCAAGGAATGGGTGTAACTGGTATAGAAGCTGAAGCTGTACAAAGGCCTTTTGCAGGAATCATGAGTCGAGGAGGACCCCAGGTTGTGCACTGGGTCTATTTGGGGCAGTATAACCCCATCCAGCACCAAAGAAGGCACAGTCCTGGAACCAGTGTACCCCAAAATGTAGAGCCACTCATTTTTGTCAGAGTTCAACTGGCCAGAGCCACTCTGTGTCAGAATCAGTCTAGCTATTACTAAGGGTTTTTTAATATTAAATGAGTAATTTAGTATCTGTATATTCCATGGATAGAAAACAGGTACAGGTAGTCTTTGATTTAAAACGGTTCATTTAACAATGATTCAAAGTTACAACAGCTTCAGAAAAAGTGATTTACGACCTGTCCTCAAAATTATGACCATTGCATCATCCCTTTAGTCATGTGTTTGCAATTAGGCACTTGGCAATGGTTTTCATTTATGACAGTTGCAGCATCTTGTGATCACGTGATCTCAATTTGTAACCTTCCCAGCTAACTTCTGACAAGCAAAATAAATTAGGGAAGCCAAGTTTCCTTAACGATTGCATGATTCACTTAACTAGGTGAGTTGCTTAATGACCACAGTAAAAATGGTCCTAAAGTCAGGTATAGTCATGTGTTGACTGCATAGCTTAGTGACTAAAATTCCAGTCCCAATTGTGGTTGTAAGTTGAGGACTTCCTATATTTAAATACACAAATAAATAATACATATTTTAAATTAAAATTAATTAAATTCAGTTTCCAAGTATAGTCTGATTTGAAAAAGATTGCACATTTCTAATATTTAAGAACATGTTATGGACAGAAGCAGCTGTAGTTTAAGTATGTTCATTAGCACAGTTGATGCAGTAGTCTAAGTCTGATCTCAAATGATTTAATTGTTTTATATTAAGCTAACTAAAACAATACTGTTTTCACTTCTCATCGAAGTATCAGAATTGCAGTGGATCAAAACAATAGCAATGAGATTCTTGGTGCTCTGAATGCTGATGATGTTACCTAGTTGGATAATGAAATGTCTGCAAGAAAATAATCAAGCTCAGAGAGCACCAAGGATTCCATAATTCAACCCTTAGCTGCTAATATTTTCTTCTGTTGGTACAGGAGCTATCTTTGTACCGGCTACAGAATTATACTACTGGTAATCCTTGTTCAGTGATCAGAATTGGGTTTGGTAACTCATTTGTTAAGGAAAGCAGTTGCTAAGTGATACCACAACTGTGCTTATTATCTTATTTCAGACCTTCATAATGTGAGGATTGGTTATAAAGCTGCTTTATCATAATTGGTGTAAATGCAAATGGTCGCTAAGTGAGTCAAGTCACTAAATGAGGATTATTTGTAGCTCATTAGTACATAAGCCTTAGTACATAAGTACATTAGTACATAAGTACATAGATCCTTAGAACTAGGGTGTTTGGTGTTTCTCCATAGATCCATAAAGATTTGTCCAGATTGAGTCAATGAAATTTATTCAGTAAGCATAGGTTAACATAAGAATGATTTAAAAATCCCCTTTAATCCTTACTCTTGCAGGTTCTTTCGTTTACCCACCCTATCTCATTCCATTCAGCTGAAACATTTGAGTCACTCCTGGCCTGTTTAAAAATGGATGATGAAAAAGTAGCTGAAGCTGCATTACAGATTTTTAAGAACACAGGAAGCAAAATTGAGGAGAATTTTTTACACATACGATCGTGAGTTAATTCTATACTCTATTTATTAGAATTTCACCCAATCTTATTTGTTTTTTTTATAAATAACTTAGGGCAGTGAACATACATAATCTTTTCCTTTCTATTTTCCCTACAACAACTACCCTGTGAGGTGGGTTGGCTGAGAGAGATTGACTGGCCCAAGGTCACCCAGCAGACTTTCATGCCTAAGGCAGGGGACTAGACTAGAGCGGGTTCCTGTTTTTTAGGCCAGCACATTATCCCCTAGATCAGTGGTTCTCAACCTTTTTAATGCCACGACCCCCCAACCGGTCGTAAGTCGAGGACTAAACCGGTCGTAAGTCGAGGACTAAACTGGTCGTAAATCGAGGACTTTCCCTGCCCGGGAGCGCCGCACATGCGTGGTTCCGCCCCCTGCTCCGGCCGAGGCGTAGCTGGCAAGCGGCAGAGACGGAGCAGGCCGACCACCAGCTGGCCCAGCTCAAGGGAGGTAAGGCACCCGCCGGAAAAGGGGAAAAAATGGCGGACAGCCTTGCTTGGCGACCCCCGTTAAATGGTCGATCGACCCCAAATGGGGTCGCGACCCATAGGTTGAGAACCGCTGCCCTAGATGAAGGCTAAGCAAATAAGTATATTTAAAGTATACTTATGTATATTTCAGTAGCATTCCTGTATGTTTGCCTAGCAAGATCGGTGCCCTAAAGATTTCACTTTACTGTTATATTTTTAGCTGCTTCCCTTGAGGCTTCTGCTACTGGAATTTGCATTGTCTTTAATGTTGAGGAATGATAATGATTAAAAAGAATGAAATCTTTCCCTCTGTGTATGAAGTTATCTTTAGGAATTTGATATATTGTCACAGATTTTAGAAATTGTACTTAAAAAGTTAGCGCATTGATGCATATACAAGCTTTTTATAGACTAGGATTGTGGATGGTTCAAAAATGATTTTAGAAGAAAATGTTTGGATCCTGAGCACCTCAGGTTTGTTAAAGTAGCCACATCTTTGGTATGGCTTGCACTGAATCAGGAAGAGAGGTGCTGCCCATGTGCAAGTGCAATATTGGATTCAGAGTCATTGAGATTGGAAAGGCATATAAACTGAAGCGAATTATATTACATATGTATATAAATCATGGGATGATTTTTGAAGTTTTGGTTTGCATGGTGGATCACGAATATGGTAAGTCCCAGGTTAAGAATGCACCTATTTAAGGAAGACCCATAGTTAGGAACAGAGCCTATCGTAGCAAAAGTCTAATTAAATACACAAGGATTAAAGTTAAATATACAATGGTTCAAGTTCATTAAACAAAATTGCCTATACAGTATTATACAAATTTGATTTCAGGGCAGGCTTTGGGAATTGAACTCATTCTTAAACCAAGGACTACTTGTACTGAAATGATAATGAAACTTAAATCTTTGTGTATGGCTGTCATCCTATTGTCTTAAAACATTTGGAAATTACTACATGTTTAATAGATTCGGCCATAGCAAACATAACATGTGATGTGATTACATTTATATATATACTATATATATTTTTTTACTCTAGAGCTTTGCTTCCAGTTTTGCAACATAAAGCTAAAAAAGGTCCTCCTCAACAGGCCAAATATGCCATTCACTGCATCCATGCAATATTCTCCAGTAAAGAAACACAATTTGCACAGATATTTGAGGTATTTTTTAATTTTATATTTATAGTGCATTAGTAGAAAATTCTGAAGAATTTAATTTTGAAAAGGTTAAAATACTTTTAAATGATTGCAGCTAACTACTCTTTAAGGGCATATTGATGTTAACATTTATCATCATTTATATATTTTAGCCGCTACATAAGAGTCTCGATCCAAGTAATCTGGAACATCTGATTACACCACTGGTTTCCATTGGCCACATAGCCTTGTTGGCACCTGATCAGTTTGCTGCCCCGCTGAAATCTTTGGTGGCTACATTTATAGTTAAAGAATTGTTAATGAGTGACAGGGTAAGAATGTTTTGCTTTTTGCAGTAAAAAAAAATCAAAGAGAAAAATAGTAATGTACAATAGTATATTGTACATTATATTGTGTTCATTTCAGAAGAGAAAATAGCTGTACAATTCTTAGTACGTCTAGCATACTGAGCTGAATAACCATAAAATGTAAACTTATGAAGAATAATGAAGACAAACCAAGAATGTAATAAGCTCCTTGAGAAATATCAAATTGAATTTTTCCTCCTGTTTATTCAATTTCTTTCCTTTTTCTAGAAAAATAGATGTAAACATTTTGTATACAAACTCTATTCTATTAAATAGTGTGAACTCATAATAGTATCTATTGTAATCTAGCTCTCCCCCACCTGGTTTCTTCATGTTGTTTTGGATTCACATACAGACATGGCCCAAAATATCGGTACCTTCCACTTTCCCCCAAAGAATCCCAATTTCCTATGAAATAAATTTAAACTGCTACAGCTATGTGTATGTTTATGCCATTGAGTGTACATTTTGTTTTGAATATAAAACTTAACATATTATTGGAAATAATAAATGAAAATAATATGAACATGATTAAATTATTGGCACTCTTAGAAATTAAAAGACTTTATTGGGTTTTAATGATATCTTAACAGACTCTTTAATTACAGTCATGGATATCTTCAATCTCATAATCAGTCACTCAGCCTGTTTGAATGGGGAAAAGTGCTCAGATATTTTTTGTCATTGTGTGCAGCACAGTGAACATGGACAAGAGAAAGAAAAACAGAATTATCTGAGGAGGAAAGGAAGAAGGTAATAGTAAGCATAGTAAAGTTAAAGAGTACAAAACTGTTTTCAAAGAGATTCCTTGTTCCTTTGACCACAGGTATTAATGTTATTAAGAGGTTTAGATAGTAATCTGCCTCTTTAGATATGGCCATCAGAAGAAAATTGATCCCCGATAGAACAGAAGGGTAGTTTGAATGATGGAGTAAGAACAAAGGAAAATTTCAGAACAGAAGCTATTCACCTCTAAGATCAAGAACTATGCAGCAAGTTACAACAACCATCACTATCTAAGTGAACATGCTTCCATGATAGCAGACCCGGGAAAGCCCCACTTTTAAACGCCACTCCAGACTGGAATTCGTTAAAATGATGTTGACAACCCACGGTCCTAGAACGATGTCCTTTGGACAGATGAAACAAAATTAGTGTTTTTAAGTCACAGCAGCTTTATGTTCATAGAAGGGAAAACAATGGTTTTAAAGAAAAGAATACCATCCTTACTTTAAAATTTGGAGGAAGCTCCATAATGTTATCAGTTGCTTTGCTGCCTCCAGCACCAGGTGCCGTGAATCTTCAGGGTACATTGAAGATTATCACTGCATTTTGGAGTGAAACATAGTGCCCAGTGTTGGGAAGCTATGTTTGCAGTCATAGTTTCTCCAACAGGATTCTGACCCAAAATATACATGTAATACAATCCAAGAAGTTGAAAAGTAGACATTGGAGTGTTCTAAAGTGTCCTGCTATGAGTCCTGATTTGAATGTGTTTGGAAAGAGCTGAAACTCACAATTGAGAGGAGCCATCAAATCTAAGACAATAGGAACAGTTTACAGGTGGGACAAGAATGGAACATATTGCTGATTGAGAAGTGTATAAATCTTATTCAGAGCTTCAGAAAGTGCCTGCTTGCAATGATTGCCTCAATTTTTAAAAATATATCTAGTCATATGTCAAAAGCTTGCTGTATGAATTATGGAATAAAGTATGCTAGATGCCATTTACTTGTGTTACTTTCAATTTATACAATGACAAGTTTGAATTCTTTGGTTAAAAATAGAGGAGTACCAATTCTTTTGGCCATGTCTGTTATCCCTTGTAGGCTATCTGGAGGGCAAAGATTGGTTAAGATTCTCTGAATATTATCTCACATACTGTATTCTAATTTTTTTATGATAACTTTATTGTTTAAACAAGATAAACAGTAACTAATAATTACAGAAAGAGAAAAAGTAAAGAAACAAAGAACAAAACCAGAAGTGCAGTTAAAAAGAATGAGAAAAGAAATATAAAGAAATCACTTCTGATTTTTTTTACATCAGTTATAAGTATAAATTCAAACTTCCCTCTTATTGTAAGGTGACAACACAACTTTCATTTTTTCTTTTTTTTCTATTCATCAAAATCATATATCATAATTTCATTTTTTCTGTTTCATGCAAAAATTACAAAAGAGGTTTCCAGTTAGCATTAAAACCAGTCAGTGTCTTTTCTTTAATTAAAGTTGTGAGTTTCTCCATCTCAGCAAGCTCCATCTCTTTACCATCCACTGTTTTCTTATAAAACATAATATGGAACTAATATTCGGCTGCTTCTGTGACTTGCTTCTACTTTAGGAGGAAGTGAGGATTAGCCTTTTAAAGATTAATCTATTCAAAATCTATTCCAAAAAATCAAATGCAAATATCTTTAATTTCATAAAATAAACCTCATTTTCACCATCAAAGTAAAAAGCCTAGCAAGGTTTCAGTGTCTTTAAAGCAGGGGTGTCAAACTGCCAGCCCGCGGGCCGGATGCATCATAGCGAAACTATACCCACCCCATTGCCGGCAATGGCAAAAAAGTCACAATACATCGCGGCACGTCATGTGATGTTGTGAGTTTGTCACCCCTGCTTTAAAGTATTTACTGTTTTGCTCCAACCAAAAAGCTAAGCTGTTTAAGGGCAGATATTCATACCAAATACCTTAATACTTTCATTTCTGTCTATATTAGAGACCATAATGTATCAATATTAAAGCTGTGTTACAAGATGAAATAGAGAATAATACTGCAGTACTGCAAAACAATTAATAATGGTTATTATAATCAATAACAATTATTGTAGGTCTACGAGTTGTAACAGTTGGACTGTCAAAACAGCTGAAGAAAGTAGAATTTTTTGACCTTAAAATATCCACCTTCTAAAACAGCTTTGCTTGAGATTGCTTACATATTATGGAGATGTTTGAACAGTTCTTAGGCTTTGAAAAAAGCTTGAATTATCTTTAAAATTTGCTATGCATTCTTCAAGGGAGAATGTATAAATATTATTTATGATACTAAAGTAACAACTGATATAATTTGTTTCAGATGCCAGGAAAAAAAACAACTAAGCTATGGGTTCCAGATGAAGAGGTTTCTCCTGAGACTCTTGTAAAGGTACACTACTTAAAAACTTACATTTTCATAATTACTGTGATTTATACCTATCCAAAGTGCTGTTTTATTTTCAAAACATGATGTAACTACAGTAGCACATTTTCATTTACTTTTTGGGCTAAAAATGAAGTAACTGTGTATAATAAAATATTGATAAAATTACACATTATTGATAGTCTATTGAGATATTAATTTGTTATTTGCATGCATTTCTAATTTAAATAATCATTGCAGTAATCTTCTATTTTATTTTTATATAGTTATTGTTAAGGAGAACAATTGTAGACATTATCCCTTTTACAGTTAGATGGCTAACACTTAAAAGTGTAGGTCTAAAAGTATAATATGGAGCAATGTAATTTTTGTCCTGTAGTTGTGGACTGGCTTAGCCTTAATCTGCGGATTCTTATAATACAATGGAATTTGCAGGTACAGAAAACTACAATTGTTCTCACTAGCAGTTTATGAAGTAATACTACAACTCTGCCTTACTGCCAAATATTATAATTATTATACAATTTGAAATTTCATTAAGTTCCAAAGCATTTTTTAAAACGGAATCTGTAACACTCTTCCAGATTAAATAGAAACAATTGCATAGCCCTTCTGGTAAAGACAGATATACTACAACAGAGTCACTGTATTCTGTTTTTTTTTTCAAACTTGTGTTGTATTTTGACGATAACAGCAATACTTGCTGCATTAGTAATAACACCAAATAAATAATTAAAATTCATAAATTCCATTTATTTATTCAACTTAGGTGTTACCCTACTGAAGACTGAATGGGTAGCTCATAATAAAAGCCAATATAAAAAAATAACAATCTACATAAAATGGCAAACAGATGACAAAACTGATCATAAAAAAGATATCATACACCCAACAGTGCAAAGTCAGGGGAACAACCAGGTCTTTAAGGCTCTCCAGGTCTTTCCCTGATGAGGATCTTTCCCCAGTGATAAAGTAGAGCACCCTCCCTGTACAATGTTAACAGTTCCTTTAAAGGAGAACAATGTGCATGAATTTCTAATTTGGTTTAAGGAAAATATAAATTTGAAACTTTCTCACTTGCCAAGTTATATTTTTCTTATAATGCTTTTTTGGGGGAAAAAATCTCTGTTCAAGATGAAATTTCTTGAGATGTTATAATGATCTACTAAGCGTGATAAACTTTGGCTTGATTATTTGTTAACATGTATTTCAGATCCAGGCAATTAAAATGATGGTTCGATGGTTACTAGGAATGAAGAATAATCACAGTAAATCAGGAACATCTACATTAAGACTGTTAACAACAATCTTGCACAGTGATGGAGATCTAACTGAACAGGGGAAAATTAGGTATATAAATGATACTTTTAAAGCAATATTACAAACATTTTTTTCAAATAATACAGGAAATGAAAATATATTTCTGACCCATTCTGAGCAGAATACTCTGCCTTATATTGATGAATCTAGTAACTCTAGCATCCAGTGCCCATCCATGGCACCCCCTGTGCTCTATACTGTGCGCTCATAGTATCCACCCATGATCTGTAGCATCAGCCTGGAGCATCTATCCCCTTTCCATAGCACATACCCACTCATGCAACTTTGTGCCTGCCCACCTATGGCACTCACTTGCCTGCATTCCATTGAACCTGCCCCATGGCACCTGCCTGCCTACCTACAGCTCTTACATATTGGCCTGCTTGCCTGAGATCCTCACTTCTTCCCATGGGGTGGTCACATTAGTTCCTCACTTAACTACCTGTGTGATTTTGAGGTTACAATAGCAGGTTATGATGACTGCTGGGATTGCTGTTGCTAAGTGACGCAATCACATGATGTCACACTTCACAATCATATTGCTTAACAATGGAAATTCTAGTCTTAATTGCCATCATAACCTCAAAAGCAATTTATTTTAAAGGAGATGAAACTAAATATTGTGATTGATGGGAAACTTTTTGACTCATCTTAGTAAATGCAGAGAAGATGGATAGGCAAAACCATTGTGCATAGTTCAGTTCAACAAGATGAGATATCTTCTAAACTCATTACCATCTTAAATATTATGTATGCTCAAAGATAGAAATGATCACTATCTTTAGTATACTTTGTGATGGCAACAAAAAAATAAGCAAAAATACCTTCAGTAAATTATCCATATACTAACTAGTCCATATTTTCTATTTATTTTTCAGCAAACCTGATATGTCTCGTCTAAGGCTAGCTGCTGCTAGTGCTATTGTCAAACTGGCACAGGAACCTTGTTATCATGAAATCATCACATTAGAACAGTACCAACTTTGTGCATTAGCCATCAATGTAAGAAAATTGAAGAAAGGGTGTTAATTAGCATTAGCACTATATGCTTATTATATATACATTTCAAATTTCTGTGGCAAACAGTTTGGCTTTTTATTTCCTAAGCAGATAACTGAAGAGTCATTGTTATATAAAATTTCTTTTCTTCTTTTTAGGATGAGTGTTACCAAGTTAGACAAGCATTTGCTCAGAAACTTCATAAAGGTCTATCAAGACTCAGGTTACCACTGGAATATATGGCTATTTGCGCATTGTGTGCAAAAGACCCAGTAAAGGAGAGAAGAGCTCATGCCAGACAGTGCCTAGTAAAAAACATAAATGTGAGAAGAGAATATCTGAAGCAGCACGCAGCGGTTAGTGGTAAGAAATCTTGGAACACTAGCAGAATAATTTAAAGTGCAACATTAACACCATGTCCTCATGGTATTTAAATTCATTTTCTGTACCAATACAGTTTGCCTTAAAAGCTTTTCTGAAGTGGAAGAATGTGGTTATGAAATAGCAAGATTATACTGATTGCATTGAGTCTTGATTTGCTTCTAAACCCAATTCACACTGCTGATTATTATTTTTAAAGCTAAGCTTTCTTTAGGTTTATGATAGCAGTCTTCTCTTCCATGAACATTAGAACAATATTAGTAGTAGCATTCTATTCTTTTCTGCATCCCATTATCTTGTAAGATGCATAAAACACAGCCTTATCGGTGAGAAGCACCTGGATTATGATTCTGCATTTATGAAAAATGATCAAAACTATTGTGTGATATCAGATAGCAGGCAGCGCCAAACAACTTGGAATATTCTATCTAGTTTTTTGTTTATTGTGATCTTGCTGCTATTTGATCTTTGTTCTTGTTTTGGTGCTGTAACTATAACAATGATTTCTTATTTAAATATTTTGTTTTTACATTAAAATTATGTTGCTGCGTGCTTTGATTTAGGAAAAAAATACATTTTTATGAATAAACATGAATTGCATTATTTTAAATTTAGTTCTCACCATGACTGTGTATTCTATGCCTTTTAACAGCATATATGCATGTCTACTCCACCAGACCTCTCCTGTCTCCTATCTATAGTTTTACTTAAAATGGTTTTCTTCTACTACTCAGTAACTGTAAAAACAATCTTTGATATTAAGCAGTTTTGAGGTCAAATATATTTGTTTAGTAATGTGAGCATGCTTTCTACCCTGCTCTAAGGCTTGCTTCTTTTAATGCCTAAGCCTGTTGTAAGCCTAGTCACATTAAAAAAAAATACATTGCAGATTTGCCTAAGACAAATTAATTGAACCTCGGTGTGTGATACATTACAATTTTATTTTCTGTACCTTGTTTTCAAGCTTTTTGCATCAGATTCAGTTGATTGCAATTGAATGGCTTAAATAAATCCATCCATCCTTCTGGAAAATTCATGGCATAGAATTTCAAACCAAGAAATTATTTAAATTAAAACATGTAAATTTCAGTACATGTTGATTGTGCATTGAAACTATATATCCATCAGATATTTTTTCTTGAACTTTAAATGACTGTCTCTTTATTTTATGCAGTTGAAGATAATTTATAATCTAATATATATTTAATGTAAACACTTCATTTCTTTGATTACTGTTATAATGATACATCCAAATGTTACAATTTTTTCTTCAATTTACACTTTCAGAGAAACTTTTGTCACTTCTACCAGAGTATGTTGTTCCATATACTATCCATCTTCTGGCACATGATCCTGATTATGTCAAAATCCAAGACATTGAACAATTAAAAGATATTAAAGAGTAAGAATGTATTTAAAATGAAATATCTCAGTGTATATTAACATACTGATCTATATTTTTATTAAAAATTCAGCACAACTATGATAATATTTCTTCAAAATTCAGTACCTAATTTATTCTCCAGGAAAATCAACTGGTTATTTGACAACTATATTTTATGTTTCTTCAGATGTCTCTGGTTCATACTGGAAATATTAATGGCTAAAAATGAAAATAATAGTCATGCATTTATCAGAAAAATGGTAGAGAATATTAAACAGACTAAAGATGCTCAAGGACCTGAAGACACAAAAATGAATGAAGTAAGTTGTATTGAGTATTGCTAATGTTTTATAGACATAGTGAATCTTTATCTAGGTCATTGAAATTGGCTGCATATAAATAATCAGTTCTCTTGCATTCAAAAATTTGTGCTTCTGCATAATATGTCTGTGATAGTTCCTATGAAAGGTGTTATATTCTATTCTATGATAACCAGTAGAAATTGTCTAAGTTGCTGTGTAATTATATACTGTTTATATATACTTTAATTCTCCAAACAACTGTAAAGCTTTTTTATTTGGTATAGTATAACATACTTCTGAAATAGGAAATTGATAAGTTTATTTTATTTGGTATTACTGTAGAATTTTTATACAAACATAGGGTAGATTCCTTTTGCCTTTTCAGGTCTTTAATTAGTAGTGTTTTCTGACATGATAGAAAATCACACTTTCTCTTTCAGAAACTTTATACAGTATGTGACATAGCAATGAACATCATAATATCAAAGAGCACAACATATAGTTTGGAATCTCCCAAAGACCCTGTATTACCTGCTCGATATTTCACTCAACCTGACAAAGTAATGTGATTTTTTTTCTTAGAAATTTCATTGGAACTATGTGTTAAAAACTATGTGTTTTAAGTAAATATTATGCACAATGTAGCCAGGTAACCCAAAGGATTATGAATTTAATATGACATGAAATGCGTTGTGTGGTTTATTTTATTTTTATCCCACTTTTCTTTGGAGTCAACTCAAAACAGCATATATAGCCAGTGCTTCTACTTCCTATATTCTCTGCAACAGAGATCCTACAAGATGGGTTGGGCTGAAAAAGAGTTACTAGCCCAAAATCACTTAACTGGCTTTTATGCCTGAAGGGGGACTAGAGATAATGGTGTCCTGTTTCCTTTTTGCACCAAACTTATACACCAAACTGGATCTCATTAAACTATAATCCACAAAAGTTTTCATGATATAGAATTTTAAAAAAGTGTCACAAGCAATTTATAATTTTCATTTGTGTAATTCTGCCCTTAATTGTGCATAATTTCATATTAGTTTTATAGTCAGTTATGCAACAGCATGTCAATTATGCAATCTGTTTAATCTTTAAGACTGGGATCTTACCTACATTTTTCCTTTACTTGCAGAATTTCAGTAATACCAAAAACTATCTGCCTCCAGAAATGAAATCATTTTTTACTCCAGGAAAGGTGGGTATTTGTATATTTTTTTAGGACCTGTACAGAATAATTCTAACCAAAATAAAATTCTTAAAATAAAAAGTTACTTTGAAATTATTTATTAGAATGAGGATTGTTGATATTTTATGTTAATATCCCATTTACTAATTTAGCTACTAACTCAAAGGCAGTTCCACATATACTGCATTGCAGAGATTACATGGCATGGTTTAACAAAACAAGACCATCAATCTTTAGGTGCTGGAAGGTCTTCAAACAATAGAAGAATTGAAGGACGTTAAGTGATAGAGCCTAACAGCAGGTTGATTTTCAAGATATAGTGAGGACAGAATTTTGGATACTCCATTAATATTATGATTAGTATACTCCAGGATTGATCATTTGCAGTATTCCACATAGTAAAGATCTAGTGGAGCTGAAGCTGGTTTCATACATGGTATATGGGGGATATTGACAGGAATTAAAACTACAAAGCATTATTAGGTATCTAACAGATGTTTAGGAAATTAGCCAGATCTTCAAGAAAGCCTCTTAACAGTAAAGTACTGTATATTGCAGGAATATACAGTATATACTGCTTAAATTCAGTAGTGTCTTGCTGGACTGCTGATGTTCTAACACTGTACACATATATGTTGATGCACATAAGTACATTTAAATAATGTGGAAACACTTGGAGTTCTTGACTACTCGTTTGCTCCATGGATCACATGTAATTTGAGTTCTGAAATAGCAACAACAACTTTATTGTCACTTTGAATGTACACCAATCGGCATACATCAAAATGAAATTTTGTTGCATACAGCTCTCAAAGGGTCACCACTTCTGATATACACTTCTTGTTCGTGGCCAGCTCAAGTTTCAGAAAGTCCATTTTAGTCTCTAGGGAGTGAACAATGGCAAACAGGACAGATGGAAACGGAGCTCCATGTGGATTAGCCCTCAAATTAGTTTGTATTTCTGCATGACAACCTCCCCTCCTTTTTCTGATCCTGTCTCTTCCACCTTTTCCTTAAAGGGGTCTCTTTCCTTTTCGCCCCTGGAGCACTCTGTCGCTGCCTCCAACTCCTTCAAATGCCCCCCTCTCTCTTCCTCTGGGCCTGCTGAGAGCCTCATCCAGTTCCTTTGCTCCATAAGCCCCAGGACCTCTCCTCCTCTGCCTCCTTTGGAAACACCATCAGTTCCAAAACAGCTAAAAACTCGCCATACCAGCAGAGATTGTTGGTTGTATGTGACCTTAGTCCCACCACATTGCTCAAACACATTAAAATCTTCCCGATCATGTGGCCTATATCCCTTATATCCCTCCAAAAACTTTTCATCTTCAAGAGCCAATGCAGCCGCAGCCGATCCAGACACCGCCATCTTAGAAATAAGCCATTCTAATCAGCATTTTAAGGGAATATCTTGCTTAAGCATTTTTAACTGCAAAAAAATTGAATTTGATACATTCATAATTTTATAGCTAGAAATGTGTGACACAGACACACACACACAGAGTACAATTTTAAATATAAAAATCAATTTTAAGGAAGTAATTACTCTGACGTAACATTTGATTTGATCTTTTGCTTAGGTTGAGGAACCCTATTTCATCTTCTTTTGTTGACCAACATTAATTTATAAGCTATTGACTAACTGTAATTGAAAACTTTTTTCAAATTATGTTAAGATATGCTGAAGAGTTTACAAACTTAGATTTTGAGGTTTTGTCTTTATTTCAGAAAATACACTCATAATATAGAATATATAGATTAAACGGATAACTAAGTTTTTAAGAAGAAACTGGACAGCCATTTGTCTGAAATGGTATAGGGTTTCCTGCCTGAGCAGGGGGTTGGACTAGATGACCTCCAAGGTCCCTTCCAACTTTCTCATCATCATCATCATCATCATCATTATTACTATTATAACTATTTTGTGTTATCTTTTACAGCCCAAAGCAGCCAATGTTCTTGGGGCAGTTAATAAGCCCCTTTCATCAGCAGGCAAGCAATCTCAATCTAAATCTTCTCGGATGGAAACTGTAAGCAATGCTAGTAGCAATTCAAACCCAAGTTCACCTGGAAGAATCAAAGGAAGGCAAGTAATACAAAGGTCACTAATAGCTTTTAGATAAACAAGAAATAAAAAAATGATATCTGAAATAGTACAAGTGGTTAATTGTCTTTCTCCCTACACTTTTCATCCTGTATTTGTATACTTTGCAGTATGATAGGATGTTGTTTTTATATAATTCTGTGTTTGTTTCTTACGTGATTTTCATTTCTACACTTGTTCAGTAAATAAAATGAATGAATGAATTAGTGTAACAGATATCCTTTAGTTCACACTGAGAAAACCATGTTGAAGAATTATAGAGCATGAATAGTTAGCTTGTTTTAATGATAGTATTATATCATTTGTATTTTGACATGGATTCAGATAGCTATTTCTCCATAAACTTTAATAGGTTGCCTTGAAAACTATTTTCCCCCAAATTAACCTGCTAAATGAAAAACAGTTCTTTGAAGGAGAAAATGCTGTATTAATTGATAGAAAATAGTTCTGTATTTTGACTAGCTTAAATTGATTTGGATTGCATCTTACTAATTACATATTTTGTTAATTACAAAATGGGTTTGTATACTTCTTCGTCTTCTGCCTTTCTTTTGAATGGAATTTTTTTTTAGCTCTAAAACTGCTAAATTATGATTGCAAGCTTGTTTTTTTTAGCTAACCAGAATATGAACTGCAACAGTATAAAAACTTTGTTTAGATCCAGAAAGAAATAGCAGAATTTATATGAAACAGCAACAACATTTCTATGAGCCCCAAATCTGCTGGGTAGAAGAATAAAACATTTCACAATATTTGGCTTGCATTTAGTTAATTAAATACTATAAGGTAATAGTTTGTTGTTCATTTACAGATGATCCTTGAGTTGCTTAGTAACCATTTTATATTTCAACTGGCCTGAAAAGAGGGACTTGTGACCTGGATTCAAAGTTCTGACGGTCAGACCTCATTCCCCAGTCACATGACCACACTTTGGGCACTCAGCATCCAGGTCGCATTTATAGCCATTTGCAGTATCCTGCTGTGACGTTACTGTATTTTACAACACTTTTTGCCAGAAAGCAACATTTCTAGTTTTCAGCAGAATTACACCATAGTGAACCATTGGTTCATTCTACAACTGCAGCATTTGCTTAACCAGCACAACAAAAAAGTTATAAAATCACATTGATTCACATGATAATCCAATATTCCTGTGATGTTTAAAAGAGACTAAGAACAGTTCAGGAACAAAGTATAATTATTCTGTTTTGTGATGTAGTAGTAAGATATTCTATAATGTGAAGTTGTTGACTCCTGGTGACTGCCTGGACAAGTCATTGCAATTTTCTTGGCAAGATTTTGGAAATGGTTTGGCATTGCCTCCTTTCTAGGGTTGAGACAGAGTGACGGGCCCAAAATCACCCATCTGGCTTTGGGCCTAAAGTGGAACTAGAATTCAGTTTCCCATTTTCTAGGCTGGTATCGTAACAATTACACCAGCCTGGCTCTATAGCAGTAGTTTACTTTAAGGATGATGCTGAAATAAAATACAGGTAGTCCATGACTTATGACTACAACTGAGCCCCAAAATTCTGTTGCTAAGTGAGACATTTGCTACGTGAATTTTGCCCCCATTTTACGATCTTTCTTGCCACAGTTGTTAAGTGAATCACTGCATCTGTTAAGTTAGTAACATGATCGTTAAGTGAATCTGGCTTTCCCATTGATGTTGCTTGTCAGAAGGTTGTAAAAGATGGTCATTTTCCTTTTCTTCTCTTCAGTTGTGTCCAATTCTCAGAGACTGCCTGGACAAGGCCCTGTAGTTTTCTTGAGAAGGATTTTGAAAGATGGTTTGCCATTGCCTCCTTCCTAGGGCTGAGACAAAGTGACTAGACCAAGCTCACTCAGCTAGCTTTGTGCCAAAGGCAGGATTGGAATTCATGGCCTCCTGGTTTCTAGTCTGATGCCTTAACCACTACACCAAACTGTCTCACATTTCCTTATTTTTTTTATAGATGAGTGACTGCCACTTTAATAATAACAGTATAGTTCTAATAGGAGAGAATATTTGTAGCTCAGTTGAATTGTGGAGTCCTTCTGCTCTCTGAACCTGGTGGTTTGCTTGCAGACATTTCATTATCTTCCTAAGTAACATCAGTGCTAGTGAGTGTGGGTTTCCTCCCACCATTTTGCTCCCTTTCAGGTAATGAAATGTCTACAAGCAATCAACCCAGCTGCAAAAGGTTCTCCACAATGACAATAGTTTATCAGTGAAAATACAATGTAAGGATACATAAAGCTGCTTCACTGACCTTGGCAGCCCTGTTTCTTTTCATGACAATAGAGATATTTTTGAGGCAGAATTTATATAGATGAAAATGTAATTGTATTATTTCATTTTTTTTGGCTTTGTATTTTACCCTGAAGCTGTTGTCAATTTTTGAAATATCAAGCAGCTATAAATTATATNAATACAATTCTTGAGTATTGAAATATGGAGGGTTTCAGCTTATTTGTAGAATGAGTTCGTATTTTGTTATGTAAGTAAGATCTAGACATATTTGATGGATGAAATAGTGTTCCCTTTCTTCCTCAGTCAGAGCTGGAAAAGCCCAGAAGTAGAAAGAAAATGATTACAGATCCTGAAGAAAAGTTGGTTATGGATGACCTGAGCAAATTAGGACAAGAATCAAAGCTTAGAAGTAGTCAGCGAGGCAGAAAAAGAGCCGCAGTTATTTCAGAGTCTGAGGAACCCCAGTGGTCAGAGGAAAAGAGGCTAAAAGAGAGTATCTTAGAAAGTGAAGATGAACAAAACAGCCCACCAAAGAAGGGAAGAAGAGGGCGACCTCCAAAGGCAGCTACAGGAAGCATACAAAAAGAAGAATCAACAGTAAAAACAACTAAAAGAGGGAGAAAAAAAGCTGCACCAGTTAAACCTATGGAGGAGGAGGAAGAAGAGGAGGAAGAAGAGGAGGAGGAAGAAAGGCAAATAGACAGCATAGAACAGAAGTCAAAAGGTCGACAGAATAAAGCACCCAAAAAATCACAACAAAGGTAAGTCCTTTGTGCAGTTGTCTGCTATTTTTAAATTTAAATTGACAAGGTGACTGAATTGCATATCCTTCCAAAACAGATCTGAATCATCAGAAATAAGTACAGCTGAGTCCAACCAGTCTACACCACAAAAAAGACGAGGAAGACCACCAAAAGTTCCACCTACTCAGCAGAAGAAAGGGTATGATGTGATATCAATCTAACAAAGGGTTCATTAAATTAATTTAAAAAATGTTCCATAGCTTAGAAGATCCTGTGAGTACAATAAGATTCACCAAAAATAATGTTGCTTAGATGTTAAGATAGTCTAATCCTTTCCCCAAATCTTTCTTCATTGCTTAAACTTAAGAACTGTTTTTAGTGATCCCTTGGTTTGTGGCTATTTTAGAGGAGCTGGACGATCAAAACAAACAGCAAGCAAAGAAAATGAATCTAGCGAAGAGATGGACGTATTTCAAAGTAGTTCTCCCGTTCACGATATTTCTCAAGAAGTAACAATGGAGGAAGAAGACGTGTCCTCAATCAGAGTAAATATGTTTATGCACATAGATTCATTTGAATGGCTATGCATTTCATACTGTTGAAACTTAAAAGTTTGTACTTTGACATTACTAAATATAGTGAAGCAGAATTGTCAGTTCCCTGTTTTAAAAATGAGACAATTTTCATTTGGGAAGAAATAGGCAATTCCATTTCCTGTAATACAACAAAATGTGTGTGTTATGTGTGTGTGGGGGGGGGAAGCATGCATTACTTGTGCTTATTTTAAATCTTAGCCTTTATCCAGATGGATACCTATACAGAGAAAGTGGAAAAATATTTTTAAACCTTCAGTACGATCATCATATACTGGACTGTGCTTAAGCTCATTGAATTCAACTGTGCATCTAAATGCAATTAAACTTAGCAATTAGTGGGGCAAGCTTTTCTGCCTAATCCTTTTTGTCTGGTCATATCATGGAATGCTTCATCTAAATGATGTTCCAGTTAATGGATGTGTTTCTTTGATGAATCAATTAATGCCGATTGAAATGCATTTTCCACTGAAAGCAGAGCAAAACAGCTAGATAAATATCAACACCGCAGATTTTTTAATTCTTGATGTTGCACCCAATGTCATGTTTTTGGAACTTATGTACGCAGAAAACCATACTCGAGGCTTCTAATTCTTGATTTTTGGCTTTCTCAGGTTCGTCGGAGAACATCTAAAAGGGAAAGACGATGAAGAGTCATGTTCCTGCCATTTTTCAGTGATGTCGCTCTTATCATTTGCAAACTTTTAGGCTGAAGAGAATTGTTGATACTCACAATGGGATTGCTGAAGAAATTAAATCACTCTTTATTTCCTGCCCCTGCTTTTTGAAGCTCCTAGGTCATGAGCATAATCCACACATATGTTTATATCATTAACTATGGGGTTTTGTGAAATGTAACGTATGCTGGCTATATAGACAAAAGAACTAAAAAAAACTGTCTGTAAATAATCCTTTTTTAAAAAATATTTCTGACTTTAAAGTGCTTGTATAGCTTTTATCACGGCTTTACACAACAGTACCAGACTGTTTGGTAGAGCTATTGATTTGGAAAAAAAGACAAAAAAAAAAGTAAGAATGGGTATCAAGCAATATTTGTCAGTGTCTGTATTCTTATTTTTCTTGGCATTTAACTGTGAAAAAAAATCACTTTGACAAAATAGTGACACCTGCTCTGACACTATTCGTTAGAAAATAAAAGAAAATACATTCTCTTTATGTATCTAATTCAGTGTTTACCTTTGGCAGTTGTCTGTCTTTGGAGGTGCCAAATTGCTTTTAAACAATGTCGGATAAAACAGTATATCCAACTGCAGATGTGTGAAAGAATAGTCTTTTAATGCACCTCAGTATTGATAACAGATTTCTCTGGAATTCTTGTGGCATTGAGCATTTAAAAGAATTTACTATTTTAATTTTTAAAATGTGTTATTAAATAATGTAACGAAAGCTGATCCTCATATTTTCCCTTATTAGTTTTTGTTAATCTGCTGTATCAATAAAATTCTGTAACTGAATTTTTAATAGTCTAGTATGTCAATGTGTATATTCCCTCCTGAACATTATGTTCATCAAATTATTATGTTATAATATGAAACCTAATATCTGAGCTTTAGTGAAAATACAGGTTTTATTACCATGTAAATCAGAAAATTTTATTGATGCAGTCTGTCTTTATAAAGCTGTTTTTTCTTCAGAGCCAAGTGTTTTGTATATCACAGTAAGTTGCATGTTTACGAAAGAAATGTAATGGAATTGCAATGTAATTTTTAAATTCTTATCTAGAAGATGCTACATTGCCTCATGAGAAAAACTTTTACCAAGAGTCTATTGTACCTTTTTTTTGGTTAGCCAATGTTTTTATGTTTGTGTGCTTGGATATAAGCATGGACGTTGGAAGATTGAAGTTATAAGAAATGTGTTTGCATTTGAATGATCAGTTGCAAAATATTTCAGTCAGGGTATTCAAAAATTTGTATGACATTTCAGTATATGTTTTACATTGAAGTGATTGAACTTTATTTCTTTGGTAGAATTACAGAAAATAGAGGAAAAACTATTTTAAGACATTGTCATGTATGCAGTTTTCCAAACTGTGTTTGAACCAAAATGTATAGGTTACTATTTATGCTTAGCCATGCACATTTTATGGTTTCCTATGCTGTTTTCCTCCTGTTCAGTAGCAGTATATGGGAGGAATTCAAGTTTTAACTTATTAATGTTGTATCTCATGGAATAATGGAGCATTGTCATAAGTTAACAAAGACATCTATGTTATAATTCCAAGGGAATATACATATCCTGGGAAAAGATGAAAAGACACCATGATTTGAAAACATGTTTGCAAGTATATTTTTTAGAGGAAAACCAACTTTTTTCTAAGCTTTTTTATTATAATTTGTATTGATTTTTTTTAAGCCACAGCAATAGACAAAGGCAAACAGTTTGTGTTTATCAAGCTGTTCTACTTAAGTGCTTTTCTAGTAGCTCTTTTAGCTAGTAATTATTGTTCTTGAGCTATATTGTATTTTTATGCCCATAATTTTGGGTAACAACAATCAAAGAAATATTAACTAGAGGTGGTTCTGAAGACTACAAAATTGCCCACACAATGTAACCTCAATGGTTCATAGAATTTAGCAGTGCAAATTAAGAGTTTTTATATCTACAAAATAAAAACATAATGTATGATATTATCTTCACTGATAACATTTCACTGACATCATTTTGCAGAGTATATCTAAACCATTTTATATGAAGTATGAAACATTAAAAACTGTTCACAGGCTTTTGAAGATTTATTTGCATGAACATAGTTTGATCACATTTCCTTAATATTGCTGAAATCAGTTAATCATAAGATATTAATGTAAATTAAATATATAATTTGACATTCGAAATGTTTATTTCTTGGAATATAATGTGTACTTAGGAAAATAGGTGCAGATGGGATAATATGTTAAACTTTTTAGGTTTTATTCTCAAACAAATATAATGCATATGTTATGTACTAACACGTTGGGATTTTAATACAGTGAAGTAAAATAATACATAAAGAGACTGGATGCTAAGATTCAGTCAGTATTCATTATGTTCATTTTTTTGGTATGTATTACATTAAACAAAAATTGAGCTCACTGTTAAATTCAAGCATGAAATTCTTATATTACAGTAAGTTATCTTGCTGCAAACTGCAGCCTTCATATTTGTACATATAAATTACTTTATTTTTAAATTGGCTGTTTTCTTTGAGTGGCTTAATTTATAAAGTTGGCTTGTTTTTCTAATATTTTTCTTTGCACCAGTTTCAAAAGATACGAATATATTTGACAAGTGTTTAGATTCTAATATTCTTTTTGTAAGGAAATAAAAAAAATGTACTTTAGTGAGAAGACTGGAAGATGTTCAGAAGAAAATCATCATAGTTTGTTTAACTACAATGTTTGGTAGTACAAACATTTTCTTACTATTAGATCTTCCTACAGTTATGCTGGTGATGAACAGCATATTTTTCATCAGTTTGAACCTTGTATTTAGTATGGGCCACTTGATTGTGGTGATGATGTCTCGTTAAATTGTACAAGTCACGCACAGCCACAGTGATAAAAGAATGTATCAATTTAGTGTGGTAACAGATCACAGTAATCTGATGATACTCAACCTTGAGATCTATTAGTAATTCTCATTTCTTTAGTGTGGTTTTATTGTTTCCTATTGTACAGGTTTTCACTGAGCTGTTCATACTGTAGGAGCATTACAGAGCTTTGAGATTTCTGAACACATATTGAACAGTCAATCCTGATTTATTCAGGTATGTGTTTATTACCGACTTGGTAGTTTTAATAGTTTATTCCTTAAATATTTCTTGTCATAGGTGTGGGCTGGATTTCTCTTGTTTTATTTTCATACCATTGAGGTGGAATGATAAGCTTTTACTTCTGCTTAAAAAAACAATGTTGTGCTCTTCTATTTTATTTAGTGGGTTTATTGAGGAAGTGCTAAGACTCTTCTGCGATTTTCCAGCACAAAATATTAGGAAATAAATTGAGTTTAAGGTCTTAAAAATTCAGAGAAGTAAGAATCGGAAATGGGAACACTGTCCCCTGTTGAAATATAGAACATTTAAAAATATTTTGTGCTTATGTCTTGAAATTGTTTAATATAAGCACTTTACTCAGTTGCTCTGATGGCTCTGCTACTTCTTCACTGGCTTCTCTCACTGTTTTCAACAATATCATTTACATCAGAAGCTGTTAGTCACATTTGTGCAAATTCAGCTTTCTCTACTTTGTCTACTATTTATTTTTGCTGTGGACCTCCTGCCAATTTGTTGTATTCCAGGATTATATTCTTATTGTTTCATATATGATCTTGCAGCCGCTTGTTTTCAGCATCTGGATGTGTTGGCTGTGCCCTCATCAAAGAGGAACCACTCACCATTAAGACTGACAAGGCAAGCTACCATGTATCAACAGCCAGCAAACCCCACTCTCCCTCCCATTGATGATGTTATCAAGCCTGGTAATGAAAAGTCTGCAAGAAAACAAGCTCGGTTCAATTCTGAGCTGCATATATTTTCTGTTGGAAAAGATCATCTTTATTTGAACCTACTGTGTCTCTAGAAAGATTTGAACATTTGTATATTGTCCAGAAGAACAAGTATGCTTTCTTATTTAAACATCCTTTTCCTCTCCATTTTCTTGGAGGTTTCACAAAACAAATTGCTAAACTTTCTTGCACTTTGGTAGAAAAGGAAAGCTGCAGGTTAGACAATTACAGGAGGTATTTCTATTCTACTGTTACTGCATCTTTACAATGTTTTACTTCACTCAGCCTAACGTTGCTTTCAGAAGTTGTAGAACTCTTATGCAAAAAATCCAAAAATATAAGCCATCTTGGAACAAGGCTGTTTTCATTCCCAGGCTGCTTTTGCTACATTAAATCAATTTTTGATTATGGTCATAGACCAGCATAATAAAGATGAGGTACACTCATTAAAAATATACACCAAGAGTAAAAATAAAAATCTAAATCTTAAAACGGAAAAACTACAAGATAAAGAAATATATGAATTAAAAACTAAATGTATATGTAAAAAGGAAGAATCTAAAAGAATTTAAGCCAGTTTGATGTAGTGGTTAAGACATCAGACTGGAAACCAAGAGACAATGAATTCTAGTCCCATCTTAGGCACAAACCTCGCTGGTGACTTTTGGGCAGTTGCTCTTTTCAACCTTAGAAAGCAGGCAATGGCAAATCACTTCTGTAAAACCTTGCCAAGACAATTGCAAGAATTTGTTCAGGCAGTCCTTGCCTGAATAAAAAACTGGCAGCAAAGGTACACAAAGAAAAAGCTAACATAAAGCAATGGTGGAAGCATTAGATGGGTATAGGGAAACATAAAAGGTTAATATGGACTATTATCAAGTTACACGGAACTCTAATGTAGAGAAGTAGATGCTCATTAAAGCTTGTTTACAGTACAGATCATCATTCAAGGAATTTTCAGAATTGCTGCATAGAACCTGACTATATTGTATGCTATAGCAGGAATGTATCTGAAAACAACAGGATGGTTATGCTGCAATAATGAGATGAGGCTAGTACAAATGTCTCTGTAGTATAGACATTGGAGAAGCATATGCTCTGTTGTTTTGGTGTCTCCAAAATCACAGGGGCGGTGTCTCTCTAGGCAAGGAATCTTTCTGCCTTACAAGGATCCCCAAGAACTGGGCCGCGCAACTGGTGGACAAGCATGCATACACAACTCCACTTACATGGGCAGTGGATACTCACACGCATGCCTGCCACTCACACAGAACAATCTCCTCTCTTCCTCCCCTCCAAGGTTGCCAAGCCGGAAAGTTTGGAGAGCGCTGCTGTATTAGCTTTCAAGGACAGTTGAAGGGAGGGCATGATATTGTGCCAGGCTAAAGACCATTCTCTTGTATAGATGCTTTAAGTTTAGTTAAGAACGACACCTTTCTTTATAGCATCTCTTATGCTGGAGGAGGTCCAGAGTTTTGGTTTATTATTGGATACATAAGCCCAGTAACTGGCAGGAAGATCTCTTTTAGTTTTAGTACAGTCTTTGGGGTAGTACAATTGTTGACTCAGGGGACGCTATTATTACAGGTTAGATCCTGGTGGAGCACTTGGGCAAGATAGTTATAATCCTCTAAGAGTGCATCAGGTGACTTAGCTGATGTCTGGGCAGATTAAAGGCATTGTAGGTGATCTAAGGAGAGGAACTCAGTTATCACTTGATTTAGGCTGGGGGTCAACTTAGATAAACAGTAAGTTATTCCTGCTGGCATTATTAAAGATTGATAGCAGCTCTCAGTACATGTCTCTTGAGTGAGGAGATTTAATTGGAGCAGGCTTAGGAAGCTATCACTATCAAATTTAGACATAACCTCTAAATTTGGTAAAAAAAATAGGTACCTAGAATCAGTCATTATTAATCATTCTGAAGAACGATTGGTAGGTGAATTCAGCTGGATAGTCACTTTCCAGGACTCCATTTAAAATGTGAAAGTTTAGCCTGAAGGCTCTTGTGCCAGCCAGAGACCTTGTGTAGATTCAATTTCTGATAGTTTGAGCAATGGGTGAGGAGGAATTCATTTGGGAGAGAGACACTTGTACTGTGCATAGAGGGTGTGATGGAATGTATGGGTGACTTTGAGGAAAGGGGAGAAAAGATGCTGTCTAGGAAAAAAAAATCAGACAGAGACAGGACCCCACAGTCAATTACAATCATTAGGGATCTGCCCTAATGGATCAAGTGGTTAAAAATTGAGGTAAGAAGTTTTTATTTTCAGATTTGGCAGGCTTCTATTGATGTAGCCTTACAATAAAGTAATTTAGCTCATCTAGTCGCGTATTATGAAATTTTCATTTTGTCTTCTGACTGCTATTTAGTGTTCATGGATATGCTTTGCTAGTCTCCTGTTCGTTTGTCCTACAGAGTGGCTGTTACTGCTGCATGATGAAAACTTAATTTCACAATACATGGAGAAACCTAACCATAGTTTCAATTGGGAAACAGTGATCAGCCAAGATCAACATTAGAGTGGATCAAGGAACACCAAGACCACTCCCACCAATATTGACAGGGCAAACCACTGGTGTAGAAAAAGAGTAAACATTCCCTACTCACACTGATGTTACCTTGTTTGGTAATGAAATGTCTGCAAGAAAACAACCAAGTTCAGAGAGCACCAAGGACCCACAAGGCAGTTTCTTTTTGGTATCAGCTACTTGGAATCATCTGGATTCCTTGAATATTGCTGATGTGGAGCTTCCAGAGAAATCACTGTCAGTGTCACATTCACAGTTTTCTGCATGTCCAAGTAAAAGACAACAGTACAAGATGATTTAGAAGGTGAGCAGCAGGCTATTCAAACTTAAGACAGAGCTGAACAAGTGGTAGTTGCGACCAGATCATCACAGCATACCTGCAGTCATATGATTGTGATTTGTAACCACCTCTGCTGGCTTTCCATAAGCAAAGTAAATAGGGAAACTGGCAGAAACCCAGAAGTTGCTATCATGTGAGCTCCTTGATTATGTGAACCATGATGATTAATCAACTAATAATAAAGCCAAGTAACACATTTTATGTCCAAGCCCAAGTATAACATAGCCCATCTTCTAGTTCCTGCCAGTTGATATTCTGCAGGATGCCCAGTCTATTGGATTGGACTGTACAGGTAGAAGCTCTTGGAAAAAAGACAGTCCCCCAGGTAACCCAGTCTCAAGTCATTTGGGGCTTTAAAGATGAAAAGGCTTTAATTGCACTGGAAACACACTGGCAGCCGGTGCAATTCACAGAGTAATGTTACATGTGACATGTAGCTGGCATCGTTTATTAAAAGTTTCTGAATGCTCTTCAAGGGCAGCCTTATATAGAGCCCATTGCAGTAATCTAAGCGGACAGTTACAAGACCATGGGTGATCGTGAGCAGGGCTTCCCAGTCCAGGAATGGATGTAACTAGTGCAGTACCCAAAGGTATGCAAAGGCTTTCCTAACTACATTGTGAATCCCCAGATTTCACATTGGCTCTGTCTCGGTTAGTGTCATCCCATCCAGAACTAGAGATGGAAGAATCTTGTGTCTGGAAGGTCCAAATACCC